ACAACATCTACCATTGTTTGAATTTATGAAAAAAACATGTCAACAATGTTTTATCATAGCAAAGCAATTCAGAGCTTTTGGCACGAGGGAATATTTTAAAAAAGAATATGTGTTATACATAATGAGAGCAACGTAGTAATGCACATGTACAGGTTAGAAAACAGTTTTTTAAATAGGGGGAATATGGTCAATTAAGTTACTCAAACACATAAATTTTCACCTTATTAATGTAAATTTATTGATGTACTGCTCTGTGTAAATTGAAATAGCAGGAACATAAACAATTACATAAACATTAAATACAATATTTTACACTGGTATATCTGTCGTAGCATTATCAAAAATTTTCCTAATAATTGTGAGTAATTCAACTGAGCTACAATGTGGTATAATTGTAATATATATTGTCCTTATAATTGAACAATTATAGTATTTTACGTTGTAGATATTTATTCAATAACATTTCATTCAAAATGGCGACCAAGAAACATCAGTACGACAAAATGTTTAAAACAAACAACTCATCATAGGAGATACATATTGCAAAGGCCGTGAGTGTGGACGACGACAACTAATTATTTGAGAGATACAGTGAGACTAAACACACATGACAAGTACATATATCTGTTGAATATGCTTCTCACCTTTGAATCCGTGTGATCTTTATTTATAGGTACCAAGCTAGTATCGGATTATTTTGTGGGTAAATGCATATTATGTGATGTCATCCGAAAAATACAATAAATAGTGAGTTACTGATTCAAATCTAAAGGCTCGGCGTCTTACCCTAAAAACATGATCTTGCCAAGTTTAAATATCTTTATTTTATATTGATATATTCAGACTCAATACCTCATTCATGTAAGTTTTTTGCTGATGATGTCATACATATAACTTGCAGCCACATTCAATTCATAATATTCTATCCATGTACATAGTAATAAAACACACAGATCAAAAACTAAACTGAGGCACATTTTTTTTCAGACACATTATAATTTATGTTCCCGTTTATTCAAACTATAAATTATCTTGTCACCGATAGAGTACGTTGAACCTTCTATTGTGCAATCTGTGTTACTAGTCGCCATTTAAAAATAAATATCAATAAATTAACATGTATGCAGTTTATCAGATATTGGCCACTCAAATATTATAATTGACTATTTGCGTCTATTTACTAATTGCTTTAGGTAAATTACGTGTCCCTACTATTTTATTTAAACATTATACCATATTATACTGTCTATTTGGTTGAGTTACTCGAATATGTTAATATTAATTTCGGAAAATCCAAAATGACTATCTTACATAATGTATGGTTTAAAACACTGAAATCATGGGAGCAAATGGCAATACCGATAATCTTATCGCTGAAGCTCCACTCGTGTGTCCAATGTCTTCGAACTACAAACCATTACTGTCAAACAAGATGATACACCAATCAATAAGCGTCGAGCACTGCGTACTAATCTGGATTTGGAGTCTCCGAGTTAATACACTCGAAGACCGCTCCATTATCACAGAATTATTTATCTTGAGATCAAGGTTGAAAAATCAATTAAATTACATACACATATTATCAGAAACATAAATAAATTAGTTTGAAAGAATAAACTCTTTTAATTTTGATTTAAACTCATATCTTAAATTCTCAGCGGAAAGTTAATGGGTAAAATGTTTTGATGATTGGATTTGGGTGGCAAGATTAGAGCCGATATTGTTGAAAAATCATTAACCTTAGTGGCAATTTCGATATCTTCAGACAACACTCTACCATCCTTATTGCAATTCAATTGTTTAGTAAATGTAGCTCTATTATTATTTAATATACTATTGATAATTTGCCATGTTTTATTAGTATTGCCAATGGTAGATTTTAGTCTTGTAACATAATAATCTCGTTTTGCTTTTTAGGAGCTTTGTCAGAAGATTTCTTATATTTATTTCTGATTTCTACATTGTGTAGTCTATTTCAAGGTTTTCGAAAAGATAACATTTGCTATGATATATTTTAACTGAAGCCTGCTTGGTTGTTACATTACACAATAATTTATAGAATATTTTGAGGGCCTGATTGGGATCATTACAATCATAAACTGGCTGCCAACAAATATTATTTAAATCAGAAATAAACAGATTTGGATTGTACAAAGAGAAATCACACTTGTAAAATGTTGCATTTTGAGAAAAAAAATCAAAAATGGAAATTAAACGATGGGGGTCACTAATATCAGCATGCAAAGTACAACACTCAACATAATAGTCGGTGATGTTGGTGATCACGTGATCAATGACAGTACTAGTATTTGGAGTAACTCCTCTAGTTGGGACATTAATTAACTGGGAAAAATTATAGCTGTTTAAAAGTGTTTCTAAGGGGGCGTCCAAAATGATATCAATATTGAGATTACCCAGAATGATACATTTCTTATTCGCAGTGGAAAAATAGTTTAAACCTGATCAAAACTACCGGTATTAATGAATTCCTGAAAAGGGGTTTTGGGTTTCCAATAAATAACTGCAATTACAATATTCTTTTATCAAGGGTTGTTTCAACAAAGATAGATTCACAATGGGTAATTTGTAAATGATTGAAGCGAGTAAATGATAATGAGTTATGTAAATACAAGGCTACACCCCCACCTTGGGAATGTTGACGACTAAAGGTGATAAATTGGTATGCTGGAATAGTATAAAGAGAACAATTAGACTTATTGTGAGACATTGAAGATTGAAATAAGTTTTTCAAAATGTTTTGAAGAAGATCTAATATTTAAATTGAAAACTGAAAAAGATTTTTTAAGTGTCTATCTGTATTAAATTGTTCCAGTGAATATTCTTTACAGATATATTTAGTGGGTTGAATGTCAGCTGTGTCTGTCATGGAATATTTACAGGTACACAGGGAATAATAATAATAATAATAGAATTGTGAATATTGTTGCAGTCGTTTATTTCATCCCTTGTTTCTGTCAACATTTCTCTAAGGTCGTCATTTTCAGCTTTGAGTTGCACGATCTGTTCTTTGAAATTGTCAAAACAATCACTCACGTATGTGACGGATTGTTGTAATTCCAGTAATTTAACTTCCATGTCAGTTAGTTTATCTACCTTTGATGTCAGTTCGGTTGGCGTTGCTTGAATCTTATCGGACTTGTTGTCTTCTTTTGAAGTTTCATTGTCTATACGTTGGTCGGCCATTTTCGGTGATTTTGGCGCAGGTGGAAAGCGAACAAGTTGACGATTTTTACATAGATGTAAATCACCTTGGCACAGCTTAGCTGTTGCTTGTCCACAGTACTGACACTTCATTCGTAGATATGGAAACGTAAGTAAAGGAATAAAATGTTTAGGAGCGATGTGTGTACGAGGCTGACCTCTAGTCACGCCATCATCTATATAACATTATATAAAGCGTTGGGTAATACATTTGCTGTACTGCAATCGGGTATACTTTGTAGTATTTTTGTAAAAACCTCATGGAATTTGTGTGAATTACTGAGATTAATAATTAAGAATCAAACTGATATACGGTGGCAAATTTTGCTAGGCAACAATACAGAACATACCCAATACCTAAAAGGATCTGTTTCTACTTTTGATTATAAAACGATGCGGAGATGCAATTTTCTTTCTTTTGCCATGTAATATTGAGGAATTCTCTCCGCATATGCATGAACGAGACATCGCGTCACCAATAGTAGGCACACTGCCTCTTCTTCTTGTCGTTGGTTTAAATGAAAAGAAACTTCAAATCATGGCCTTTGGAACTGACATGCTAACCAGAAACAGATAGATTTTAGACTTTCGCCATATATATCTCAGTATTGAAAATTTGAGAGCGTTTTCCATGAAAAAGATGTATTCAAAACAAAACGATTCCGTGCTATTTATAGTTAAATCAGGTTGGTAAAAGAAATCAATTTACTCTTAATGACAGTAACGTTATACATGTATATCACTACTTTCAGTAAAACTGTTTCCCAAATGTGAGCACATGGTTTTACAACATTTACAAAAAAATATAATAAAAAACCCGACCCAAAATAAACTAAACAAACTTTATTTTTTTTACTTTTTATGTGAATCGAAATTGCAGACAAATATATGAACATATACACAAATCAGCAAATGCGTAACAATACGAATCTTTGTTATGAAAAAGATTCTTTGAAATGTAGTGTAGTGAATGAACACTTTCAATGACTAGATGCGCATGCGTAGTCCGAATCTATGACGTCACAAACAACGTGTAGAATATAATTACGCACAAAGATAAAGCCTAGTATAAACATGGTCAGAACGACGTACCGAGTAGCGATCGCCCACTGGAACAAGCGCAAGACACTTAAAATACCAAATTAAAATCATAATTTTTGTTTTTGAATTGAAAGTTGTACAACAAATCAAATTGTCTTTGTCAGTTATTAAAATATTATTAAATTATTTAATAATATTTAATATAATAATGATTAAATTATTAATAATCAAAAGCGTCAGCTGAAATATGTGGACTATTATTCTAAGTGGAAATAGCCTATATTCACACACCATTCACAATTACAAGCCGATGTATAGGTTCCCTTACTACTAGAATATATATGTGGATTATCACTAATTTTATGTATACACTGCATGATGACTACGGTTTAGTTTCTTCATATTTATTTTTTTGCTTTGAATGCTGAAGAAGTTTAGTTTTTTCATGAAAGTTGTGTCTTGTTTCAAGCCAAGTAATCACACAGACAATAATGGAACTTATAATTATTAGTGCAGCACCAATTAATTCCAAGCTAACCAGTTCCTGGTGAAACACAGTAACATCTGCGATAAAGCTGACTACAAGACATTTATTCGTTAAAATTGATGTTTTACCCACACACTGTAATTGTAGAGATCTGTTAAACGAATACAAGAAGACAAGGAACAATGCAACCATCCCTACTAGATATGGAATCGTTATAGGATATTCAGGTATCAATGCATATATCCGTTCACTACTTGTAGGGTACACTAATATCAACATAAACAAATAACCCATTATAGAAAATTACAACTATTAGGGAAAGATCATCAGACATCGTTCTAGCACATACAGCACCGATGGATATAAAGAGACCTGCTGCTACAGCATACATATAACCAAGATCCGAGGAAGCGGCAGCTGTACCAAATATGAATTCAGGTCGTGATATTAATATGATACCAGCAACATTTATGGCAATACCAATACAGTCACGGGGTTTATACTTCTCTTGTATGAATATGCAGGCAAACACAGGTGCAAATATTGGTAATGTACCTGCTGCTAATGAGGTTGCATCTCCCATTCCAATCCCATCCATGGCGTAATAGAAGACTACGTCTGCTCCGTTCTCACTAACACTTTTCACAATGTTCAAAATAGTGTCTTTCCGTTTGAGTTTCAGAATATTAATTTTCTTGTAGACAAGCAACGGGATAGTTATTGCCATCATCATCAATGATTTGACAAGTATAACCTGTGATGGTGAATAACCAATCTTTACACATAACAGAGCGAATATATCAGAGATACCTAGACGTACACCTGCCAGTAATCCCATTGTAATTCCTAAGAATGCTTTCCAGTAGTGTTTTGTGTGCAGTGCTCGACTCTCATTGATTGGTACATCATCCTGTTTGTCAGCTACGGTGTGTAGATCGAATACATTATACGCTTGAGTGAAGTCTTCAGTGACATGATGCTCAGTATTGCCATTTGGTTCCATAATTTCTGTGTTTCATAACATACGATAAATAATGTGATATTTTTAGATGTACTGAATATTAAACTGGTACTGAATATTAAACTGGTCAATATATAATATTTAATTTAAATAATACTAGGAATACATAATACAATATAAAAACGAGTGGAAATGGTAAAATGGTCAAAAAATGATACATTCTATATATCATTACAATGATATTTAGTTCAAAATGGTGGCCAGTAAGTGGTGAGCATGAGTATGTCAACACAAACAATACTGTGTGGAAAGAACAAAGTATGTTATCGGTGCTAAAATAAATACAATGTAAACAAATAGGTTAGTATATCAACAAGTTAAATTATAGCGTGATTAAACGGAAAATACTCCACAATCTGATGTAAATATGCCTCACCTCTTATTCTGAGTGTTATTATTTGTACCAGAATTAAATTAATTCATATAAGCTATTTGTTTGACGTCATCAGAGGAGGGATTACATAAATTTTGAATTCATTTGAGTCTACAAAAATATATTTACCAGCTATAAAAATGAAGCTTAAACTTACCCGGACATTAGGTGTTTTTCATAGGAATCACTTTGACTCATTTTATCACATGTAATTGATGTTTTGTTAATGATCGTACATTAAAGTGTGGTGGTTGTTGCACCGTGTCCTGTTCAACATGGGCTCCAACGTATACAACGCGTGTCATATACCATGCTTCGAACATGTGCTGCACGACGACCTCCGCCATTTAAGATATACTGTATTATTCATCGATAAACCTTACATTTATCAAAACAATTATAACTGTTTAAACAGTCCAGGTTTTTTCCAGGTTCAGGCATTCTGTTGGTTATGTGATTGGCTGTGATAATCACTAATTGTGGTCAACGACCACGTCTGTAATGTATAAGTCCAAAAGACGTCTATTCTGATGACAGTCATCTTACAGTATGGGTATTTCAATTTTAATCGAAGTCTATATCCTAGAAGAATCTGTTACGGCATTGTGGTGATCGTCCAAATCAACGTAACTGGTACGATATCCCGGGCGCATCTTTGAACATCGCTTCACTAATGTAGTAGAAGTGTGGGTATCAGGGGAAAATGTACGTAGTCGTTTCGTTGCCCAATTCCACGAGTATTTTAAAAGCATCAAGGTAGATGTTATTGGAAACTATGGCCACCATGGCAGCGGCATCAGTCGCGGAACCCAGAAGCAACACGTATGATATGCCAATCACCTTTATGACAGATATCACACGGCAATACACACCGATTCTTCTCATGATTCCATGCACACTTCTATTTGAAGGATTTGAGTTAATAAGACAAAAACATAGAATAAAGGATGCTGGCAAGCAATGACGTCATAAAATTGATAATGCTATAGTGTAATTGCTGACATTCACAATGTAACCAATGGCAGATGCAGAGAGTGTGTGGCAGAGGGTGTGAAGAACATTGCTTCATGACAAGATAATCTTGTGACAGATATATCTCATGAGTTTGCTGGTTTCCAACGTCCTTTCCCAATTGTAAGTGACCATGCTGTGTAAGTTAATGAAGTTAACTCTTCTTCTCTGGAGCAAATATCCGAGCATTTTTACTGTCAGGAACACAGGGAAAACAGCATTCGAAAACTCTCAAAAAATGTACTGTACTAAACAAGACTTACCCCCTACATGTGTAACATATGTACATTCAAATACAGTTTGTGATGTTTGGTCCACTTTTAGCTGTTTTGAGCGGCGTTCCACAGCAGCTCACTCAGAAATACACGGTACAGTGGCGTGCATCATAGCAACATAGAGCGTTCCTATGACATAGCTACGGCACCACAATACTGTGATGCTCTTTATGTGACAAGGATTATCAAGAAACAGTTTTACCCGATCTACATAATATAACATATACGAAATATACAACGAATCTATTCTAATGCCAGCACATATGATTGTATATCAGCTTTGTAAACCTGTTCTGCTGCCTCATCAGAATCACTCATCGCGTATGATATCTACTGCAATTTTTCAGGTCTTCCACAGCGGTTTATGTTCTTGGCAATAATGTCATATCATCACGTGAAAGACAGATGTGATGTTACCACCTTGCATATATTATCAACGTCACTTACTCTCCACACTTTCCTACGTTTTAAACTTGTTTGCCTCTGAGTGGAATTGGTTCTAGGGGTACACCAAACCTCTCCCGTTCTGCTACTACATGTACTCTGACGCCTGGACTTGCAAATTGAAGAACAATTTCATAGATGTATCATCATCTCTGGTAATATTATTGGCGACATGATCATTGAGACTAAAGAATGAGTTGTGTCTCACTCGAAAGACACGTTTGCTGACTGCTTTTGTTCTTTATAGATGAAGTGAATTGAATATCCGCACATGTTTATTGTTTTCGAGTGAGCACTCTCCCAAGTTCACCAGTTCTCCTGATGTATTTGCACCTGTTACATATTTAAGCACAAAACACAAATTTTCCTCGAATTAGAATCATCAACCTGCCTATTAGGTACTCAATATACCCAATTATTTACTATGAGATGCTGAAATTTGGTGGTCGATGAAAGATTTTTTTGCTGCCCACGTCAGCTCTATGTTGTCCCACTAAAAAATATCTGCCTACTGACCTCACCGTGACGTAATGTAGGAAGTAGGATGTTTGTACTAAAACTACAAGCGAAGGTAATTAAGTCTTTAAACACATCATTTCGAGCCCAGGCCTATAGCATGCTAGTCTGTTTTATTAACCATTAAACTACGAGAGCTTTTAATTATTCTTCTTTTATACGAACTTTTCATTTTTCAACCAGGCCCAGTGGTTCAAGGTCGATTATATATCTAACTCGTTATTTGTCTACACACTATCATCTGCTTTGAAACTAAACTAAAGTTTGTGCGATCATCAATATCCATGCATTTTGCTCAGTGTGTCACCAGTACATTAGTTTTCTGAGCCATTCATTTTGTACCTACAGTAGACGACCACAGAAGGTGCAGGACATGATTGTACGGAAAAGCAAATGTTAATGAAAACCTGTGCAAAGGCTGACACCATTTGGCATTCCATTTCACTTGATACATGGTAAATCTCAGCATCAGTGATTGTAAGAAGCACATTCTGATCTACTGGACATGTGCATTACATTGTGTATCCTTGTGCACTTACATGCCAGATTTTTTTTAATTTGTTGTGCCAGGTGACAGTTCCGGTCATCGAATGTCACTGTCGTCTCTCCCGAGCTTTTTTTTATGTGCAAATTGGAAGTGATAGTGTTGACACATAGTGAATTTTTACCACAGAAGCCATATTCTTGTTGGGACTACATGACAAGATTGTGCGGCCATCTCTTTTTTTCAAATGACAATTTAATGTGCTATCCTGGCGTCAACCAAGTCGCATTTGTTAGTGAATGAATCTCAACTGGAGGAATTGGCCTTCCCATTGAGTCTGTGGCACATTCACTCAAGGTTTTCTGTCTTCAGCCTAAGGTATGTTTTGAACTTGGGTCTACCGATCATGATTATGTTATTTCCATACAGATCGGGATTGTCAGTATGGTCTTACTGATTTCTAGGTATTATTAGGTATTAGTAGAGTAGCATTAAATAAAGTAGCATTTACAGAAATAGTGGTTTTGATGAGATAATATATGAGTCTTGAATAGGCTAGCTATATGATTTACATCCAAAGTGCTCTCATAGCGGTAATAGTTATACTCATGCTCCCATTGAACTTTGTGAGACTCCGTGGCGGTGATTCGCGTTTCAGCTATGAAGTGTTAATAATTGGCATTTGAATACGTACAGGTTGATCATCACGAACTCTTGCGTGCAGGGTTCACCTGCCATAATTCTATTCACTGACTTTTCTACCACATTTTGTTTGAAATATATGTTACGGTCTCACTTATTAAGAATGTCGTGACTCTATTTCTTTTTTCCTATTGTTTTGTAAGTTATTTCATATGGAATAAATAAATAAATAAACAAATAAATTGTTCACTTGACTCACTAGATACCTTCAAAACTTATAATATATAAGATATATCAATATTTTGGACTGTGTGTTTTAAGTCTGATAACACTTAGTACTCGGTCTCAACTAGATACAAGTTCTTTTTCCACTAACATTCCTCAGCCTGCAGTCTTGATATTTTATCTCAGAGTCGTTCCAAAAAAGTCATGTTGTACTTGAGCTGACTTTCCAACCCCAATTTCTCTGCACTTTTTTTTGTATTCTTCAGTATTTCTGGAAATGAACCCTAATTTTAGTGCCAACAGACACAAGAGATTTTCAGTTTTTACTCCAAACAATTTTTGCTAGTTTTGTTGTGAAGGAAAATGAGACTATTTTGCGAACTTGTGACGAAAAGAGGCAACTGGTGGTGAAAGGGCTAAACTGTTCTATAAAATGAAATTGGTTTGTCGACAATCACGTAAAAGTTATATTATTAAAACACACAGGGTGGGAGAATGGAATGAAACAATGGATAGATTGCACTGCAAGTATTCGCCCATTTATTCCGGTTTTCACTTACACTATAATACAGTGTATGTCCGTATAATACAAATCGATATATTACAAGTAAAATATTTGAGATTGTGAAAAATAGGTCAATCACAACTTATGTTACAAACTATATGTGCAGAACAATTTTAATAACGTCCTCTCTGATTGGTTGGTACGTTAAATTATATGAACAATGGCAATATGACAGTGGTATATGACGCAAAAAATACTATACAGTAAAAAGACGACAAAGTGTTATCTGGAAATTGCAAATTCATTAAGAAAAGAAATTTTACTTCTGTTTGACGATGAATATATATATATATATAGTCTTGGGTAATTAATTAGTTAGTTCCGGTTCCGGTTTTTAGACTGCCATTAACCAGGATGTACAGACGGCAAGCATCACAGTAACCATTGTTGTGGGTTTCATTGTTATGCCTGAAATATTAATAAACAAAGACGAATATCGGAAAACAAAATAAATAAACCTGGAGGGGATAGTCATTCAGGCGCAATCAATTGAAATTAATACTTATGAGCGTAAACAAAACAATTTCTGCGGGATTTTCAGTACGATAATAGTGCAGTTTGATATGTATTTCAGCTCGATTTGTGTGCCAAAATGGATTTTATTGGCCTACTTTATTCATTTTGATGTGCTGATTTCAAAAAATGTTGGATGCCATTTTTCCCAGCAATGTCTTGGGCCGCTATTTTGAATTTCAAAATGGCCATCAATAAGTGTTTTTTTCTTCTTCTGATTTTAAATAGAATAAATTAAGTAAAACATTTTTTTTATTTTTTGAAACATTATGAGGTACTGCCTAATCAGAGAATGACAATATGAAATATTGATACTGTTAAAAAGTTGTTTAAAATTTAACAATCACTGTTTACTTTATAAACCCACTATTTTCCTCCCCAACCAGCATCGGTAAACGCATGGAGGCCCAGTAGTCCTTTACTTTTCTCACTTCCAACTGCTGAACATCTTGCATGTATGTCAATTGTATGCTTCACTTTTCCTTTTCCGGAGATGAAATGAAGCTCGCCTGGAATGTTGTTAGTCGAAAACAAGTCCATTAAAAAAATGAACACATCTGTATCTGGTGAATACACATCTATATCCCGAATTACTCCAGCACTCTTGGATGCATCCAGCACATGCATCGGGATCAATAATGTCTGCTTCCTCATGTGAGTGCTCACCAATATCGGGATCAAAGACATCTAGTTTGTTGGAATACGTTGAGGTTCCATACACAACAACTAAAATCTTGCTGCTATCACCATATTCATGGAGTAGAGCTTTGCCCATGTACTCTATTAGTTTAGATTTTGTTTGAGTGTGAGACAGCAGGGTTTTCAGTGGTACTAATTTGATATTCATTGAATCCTTGATGTCAAATCAGGTCAACACCGGCCTCGTGTCTGAGCTTTCAGAGAGTTGTTTATATATTTATCAAAGATAACTCTTCCTTCTTCATACTCAAAAATAACTGTATGAATGCTTCGAACAAAAGCTTGTGCAAAGTCATGACAATTCACCATCTTTCTTGATAGCTTGGACAACTGCCATCGCATTGATAATGCAAACATTGTATCGACCCTCCAATCTCTTTAGTACGTTGGGCAAGACTTCTCTAAACTCACTTGATGGTTTCATTTTATATGCTTCGATAGCATGGACAAAGGCACTCTTGTCAGCTGGGATAAGAAGAAGGCCGTCTGGGAAGAAAAGTGACCTGGGGATAACAGAAAATTCATATTTTCCAATTGTCTCACATAGTGACTGAATCATACTAGGGCGTGACTGCTGAACTACAAGAAATCTTGCCAATAGTTGTCGATCCTCTCTTAACTTAACAAGTTTATTACCAATTTTGCATATTTTCTTCCTCTGACATCTACTGAATGTCTTCATTTTCCCATTGGATTCCAAATTGAATTCTCCGCTGTAGATACATCCATTCTCTCAGACACAAACTCTTCAAACCTGTTGGTCCACTTGGCATCTCTGAGGAGAATATCTTTCTTGGCAGTTTCTGGAACTTCCGTATTAGATGCCATGTTCATAAGCTTTATTGTCTTACACGAGATGGGGGTTCCACCACAGTGTTTGATAAAGCCCTCCTTGATTGTGGCTCAATTGTTAAACATGCGAAGTGATACTGAACCACTCAGTTAATAATGTTCCTTGATTTTTGCATGGTCACCATAGTCTTGGAATTGTTGAATAAGATTGATTAGCTCAGGAGCAATTCAGAAGAATCTATCTTAATTTTGTGTAATTCCAGTAATTTTTCTAGCAACCTTGTGGTCTCTGATAAGTTGTTCCAGTGTCTGATGAACAAATAGATTTGTGAATGGAATGGCCGATATAATCACCACAAAATCGCCACTTTTCAGAGCATTCCAGGTTTCTTAAGCAGCTTCATTTGTGCAAAATATACTGACACAAGTCGGGCATACTTGTGGAGATCATGAGCAAAGTAGTACTTGACTTGCACTTCAAGAGCACCAAGATGAAGCTCCCACTCTCCCGAATAAGGTGGTGTAAACTCTTTACCGGCTTCATATAACTCTCGTGCCATCTCCTCGTTTTGACTGATTACCAGCATTGTACCATGAAGAGTGTTCTGACCATCTGCAGTGTTCTCTAGAAAATCAGTATTATCTGCAGCAAAGTAAACAGACTTTTGTTTATTACAAAGGGTTGCAAACAAAACCCACCAGTTGTCTTCATTCGTTCAGCAACTCCACAAGCAATACGCTTTTCTATGTTGACAACCTTGTCATAACTAGACCCAATCTGTAGATGGGAAAGAACATTCACAAGATCCTTACTTCTTGTTATTTTGTGAATCGTGAGTGCTAATTCAATCGAAAGTGATGTTTCAGTTCGGAATCTGAATCCAGTGTCTGATGCTGGTTGATAAGAGGTCTGTCGGTCTTTTTTGTCTGTTAGGTATGCAGTATCTGTTGCGACACAAGATTTTCTTTTTGGAAGTTTCATCACGTTTTCCTTTCACATCTTTGTTTTTAGTTCCGGTGAGGAGCCATCTGATGAAGGAAGTCAGCAGTGGTGGAGATTCAAATTTCTTCAGCGATTCAGACCCTGTAAACTTCCAGTGGTCACAAGTATCCGCAAGATAATTGACATCGTCTCCATCATTCTGGTGCTCACGAAGGTTACTAACAGACATTCCAAGTAGTTTCTCACTTTCTCACTTTCGTATGCCCGATGTGATTTAACAAATGTAGCATCTTCAATGTTTTCACATATGATACTTTTTAGATGTTTTTTTATGATGGCTAGAACCTGGATCCACATCATTTCATTCAGTAAGGAAACATATTCTTCATTGATATCATTCATTGTTATAACAGAGCCTGAAATCAAAGAGCACTTGATGGCATTGAAGATGTCAACATCAGCAATATATTTCGACCTCGACTGTATATCACAATTTGACATGACTTGCTGTATTTTTCACTCATGTCTCTAAGACCATGTTTGCGATAAATCAAATCACATGCAGCACAGTAGGAAGGCTGGTTTACATGGGTTAGAGCTATTCTAATTTTTCCATCTGCTGTGTTTGATTTAATGAACATTGCCTTACTTTCAGCTAGATGGATTTCATCACTTCTTGGTTTGGAGCTTTGAAATACACGTATATTTTTGTTTAAAACAATGGCAGATCGTTTTATTCGAGGTACTGTACTGCATGATGGTGAATGTGGTCTTGAAAGGCGTCCTTTCTTTGGATGCACTACTCACTTTGATGAGGATGAAGCTTCAATAAATCTCTTTTCGGCATTTTTTAATTTCTCATTAAGTACAATGTTTTATTAGCATCCAGAATAATATATTGACTCAAAATATTCCTCTTCTGTAAGACTTGCTACAGAGAGGTGACAAGTATGTTTCCCCAAAATGATGCACATTTATTTGCATAGTCTCTGACCTTTTCCCGGCTCTCCCAAGGTGGCTTTAGCATTAAGGGTATTTCTCCGCCAATATTTAGGCATATGATGCACGTTCGTAGAGACGTTTTGGTCATAGAGGATGAAAATATGGTGTCCATGGTGTTGTTTTCTAGTTGCTTTTATACCTAATACGAAGGGTGGATAAGTAAGGGTTAGTATGTATGTAAGTCATGAAGCCAAGATCCCACGGAAATTTCGTCTTGTACTATGTGATATTTGGAATGTAATGTAGTCGAACAACATGTTCTGGAATGAAAAATTCTATCTATCACAATTTTGTTAACACTCCCACACATACCTGCGACTTTTCGCATACTCATTGGAAATGTGTTCCAAATATCGTGTATTGCGAGACAAGATTTCAGTGGAATCTTGGCCTTATGACTTACCACATACTAATTTATGGACCTTGATAACCCCTGGTTATCTACCTCTGCTAAAAACCTAAAACAAATGCACACAAATTAAAAAAAGCTTGCATCCCTAACCGCCATCTTTGAAATTACAATTTTATGAAGGTTCCTTATCATGAAAATATAGCAATTTCCACTATAAAACAGTTCTAAGGAGTCAATAATAAAGACATCTCCCAAAAATATGCTAAAAATGGCGGCCATTTAGAATTCCAAATCAGCACATCAAAATTGATAAAGTAAGCCAATAAAACCTATTTTGGCCTAAAAATCTAGCTAGCCTCAAATATCTGACATAGGCAGATATACTGTAATGTGTAGTCTGGATTTGTACCTGTGTCACTCCATCCCACAACATATCCCTTTTCCTCGTTCTTCTCTTCTAACCAAGTCATCAGCGGTTTGAAGTAATCAACTATGGCCGAGGCGTCCATCTCCCTGCTTCCTGTTATAGCTTCCAGTGCCTCAGGCCATTTTTTACTTGAACCAAGCTTTAACATATCCCTAGAATCGTCAATTTGAAAAGATTGTAAAACATTTTGTTTATTTAGTTACAAGTTATAGACCAACTAAACCCCATTAAAACTATTCTAGCAATATGATAGATGCTCAGTAGTAGAAAATTTGATGTTTTTTCCCACAATGCATTGTACACATGTGCAGTAACATGCTCAGTAGTATACCGACCGTTTCGCCATATCTTAACTCGTCCTGGACTGTCGAAATGCGGAAGTGAATTCCCTGTTACAACATTCTGCTAAAAATTACACTCCCCTTAAAAAGTTGATTTCTTTTTCCTAATATGTGTGTAAGGTCAGAGTTTGTATAAACTTTTCCAAAAGAAATGCGTTATTCTTAAAGATGGTTGTTGGTTTCATTATATGTGTTATTCCTAGACTAAAAGCGGAACAAGCTGAGCCCTTTTAAACGATGTGGTTGAAATAACGACCTTATTTGAAGACAGTAAAGTGATCGTCTTGTGCGTGGCGGAGGTTGGTGAATTCCCGTACTGCCTGAGTGCTTACTTTACGACATCCTTATGATACCCTTATTATTATATTTCTTTCTTTTATATATTATCTTATATCGGGTTGTACTCATTATTTACTGGGAATGTTTTATTTTAAAACTCAAGAATGACAGAATCTTATGCTATAATAGAAGGATGCCTTGGCATATAAAATAGATATAATCCATACGGAAAGCAAAAAAATTTGAGAAACAAAATAAAAATTCAATGTCACAGCGAATGTTTGTGCTTCAACTTTGAATAAATCTTCAGAGGATTTAATTCGAACAATTGAATAGGCTAGTTCTCTCGTGCTGAAACATTTCCTAAGCCTCGACTGATTACTGTCGTTGGGGGCGTGGTCCACAGGCGACATTTCAATCGCAATCAGTAGGATTAACCTTTTGTTTTGAAATACGCTGGATTACTCAAAGTTTTATATAAAACAATATTTCTTTTGACCAAAACCAAGAAAATTGAATAAATAGCCACGGAAACCAGACACAAAAAGTAGACTCGCTCTTGAGCACAATGGCGTGAAGGAGCCGTACCGGCACTTGGTTAGTTCCCGCCTCAAGTGTCATGGCGCACCAAGCCACAAGTAACTAGTAATGGATCCAACATTATGATTGGCCCATCAAGTTCTCATTCTTTGTTCTATTTCCCTTTGCTACTTGACGTCAGCGCTTACGCTCGCGGCGTTCTATATATAAAGCAAGGTTTGCCTTTAACTCTCGTGAATATAAAATTGTTTTTTTTTGTTACACAAATAATGAGAAATATCAGAACCATCTCAAATAGGGGGACTAATCAGGCAAAGTGACTGGGCATGGCTTTATTGCAGTATTACAGACACGCTTACACAGAACCGAATGTTTTCAAATTACGTCATTTAGTCACTCGCCGTTTGTAAGGTCTTACCCTAATTTTTTGCCAGCTTCCTTAGATCTGTAAATGTCACACTGGTGTAAGGAACGGGTATTACCAGCTGTTTCGCACAAAGAACGATGCATTTGAAACTGCAACACATGACTAATGAAGTATCTGGAAATATACATATATGCAAATGAGTAAATCTATATGTGCAAATGCAATTGAGAAACCTGCATCATGTAAATTAATAATTAAACCAATGCTCTAAGCAGTATGTTTCATCATACGTAGAGACGAAAACGGATCTGAGCTGAGTTACCAAGGCAAAAGGACAAACATATATACATATTGTTGTGTGCCATGTACGAGAACATCATCATTGGGGTTAAAATCTAAAAAAAAATATATCAATGGTAATGTCAGTTTATATTCATTCTGACGTAAGATGATAAGGTAAATATATGATTAATTGGATGATTAATTGATTGATTGGGAAATGGTTCGATGCCTTTCAAGCAACATATGGTTGCTAGTTCTATGTGACGTAGATCACTGTTAACAAAACAAAGAACTGACAATCATGAACATGACGTCTCAGGGAGGGTGTCAGATGCCCGTAATGAGTGAGCAGCATACCTTGCCGTCTAGACACTTCCATTTTGATTGGTCGCATGTTGTAATATATGTCACGTGACAAGGATATAATCTTGTCATAAGTGACCTATAAAGAATGCCGTCTCACATACATTTCTTGGTATATATGATATATATCTGACGTATACCTATCTTGTGACCGATGTGTAATTGTAATAACCCTATTCCCTACCGTATATATGGCGTGTTGCCAGGTATATGGTACTTGGCGCCTGGGTCAAAATGGCCAGCTTCGTCACTTCGTTCAACAGGTGCCTCAACTCCCTGAATGTCGTTCCTTAGCTTCCACCACGCCTCCGTGTACGAGTCCTTGGTCGTGAGGCCTTCAAACACGTCCCACCTCCAGAGATCCATTAACAAACCAAACGGCAAGAAAGCTATCTTATCCAACGCCATACTCATCAGAAAGTTGATGTCGGCCTCTAATGACATGAGAAGATTCTATGAGCTTGATTTAGTAGGTCGCGCCCTCAAGTGGCGAACCTGTTCTGTGACGTAAAATGGCGTGTGTATAAAACCTAATATCGCATAATTTGATTACGTTGTGTAGTAGTTTTTCTTTTACACTCTCTGAAAACAAATTCCAAACGGGCAATCACAGAACAAAATACTGCAGACGAACGCAGTGAAATGCACCATTTGTGTCACAGTAGCGCTTCGTCGTAAGAGGGCGTGAATTATATGAATTGTTGTATTCCAGCAGTACACAACACTGTAATACAATGCTATTAAATTAAAGGGCGGTGGTCATCAAGCCGCACGTAAAAGTCGCGTGTAAAATATATATTTGTTTACATCAGCACGGTACGACTACCGCTCTTCAATATTAATAAAATGGTATTTACAAAACGAGAATTGAAATTACTATGGCTGACCGAGTACATCGTTTAATTATTACATCCTCGTTCGTATGCAATCTTGCTATAGTCATTGAATGTATTCGTCAAATTATAGAGTCATCACAAAACTATGACATTTGAGCGTTGTATTTAATATCATGTTTAAATTTAGTCGTCGATGGTGCGAACGTTTGAGCATCTACTAGTCAGTTACCTTGCACGTCTTGAATGAAATTAGAACGAGCCTACACACTACGACGTACTGGGACTGATTCTAACGCGCAGACGTAATGTATAACACAAAAAATGAAATCAGACATCATTACCGGCATCATCTTCAACCGTATCTAATAAACCAATTTGATGTAAGTGATCGGGTGTGGATACGGACAGAGCAAGTAAGTCACCAACAGCTTCATGGAATCCTGGGTTGGCTCCTCTGCGATACACGACCGGTTGATCTTTATATTGCAGGAAATATTGTGTATGTCCCATTTCATGGTGAATGGTTATCAGATCTTCCATATTGATTGATGTGCACATTTTGATTCTGAATAATAACCATAAAACTTGTTTATAAATGGAGGAGAACTCTTGACGGAAGCTAGTGACTAATAATAAAAGAAAGACAGATTTCACAAACCTTATATCTTTTGCGTTGTAGAAATCCCAGGCCGATGCATGGCAGACCACATCTCTACCATCCGTCGGTTTCACGAACATGGTGTCATCCCAGAAGGATTGAGGCGAAGGGATCAAACCAAGAGATGTGAAGAACTCCTCGGATATATTGAACATGCGCAGTGCGTCATAACCCTGGTGGATAATTAAGTTATCCATATCAGACAATTTAATGACAATATCGGTGTGAGAGGGTGAGTGTATATGATTGTGGGTTGTCAGATGAGTGAATGAATGAGTGAGTGAGTGAGTAAGTGAGTGAGTGTGTGTGTGTGTGTGTGTGTGAGTGAGTCAGTGAGTGAGAGAGTGAGTTTGTGAGTGAGTGAGTGAGTGAGTGGGT